AACGGTTCCCGTCGGCCGACGGCCGGGCCCCGTTCCGCCGGACGGGCCGGGTCGGTCCCGTCCCCCCTCCCGGGGCGCCGCCGGTGCTGTCCTCTCTGCAGGCGGCCGGGCCCCTTCAGCAGATACTGGACCCTCGCCCTCCTGCTGCGGCCTTTTTCTTGAGCTGCGGTATGAGTGCTGGAGAATTCTGGAGATAAGTTTTCCTGAACCTGGGGGACAGAGTGGAAATGACTTGGACCCTAGCCCAGTAGTGGGTGTCCTAGGCCAGCCTCCTCCCTTGCCCCTGTCCCTCTTCTGAGATGCTCCGAGGGGCCTGCATCTCCCGCCCCCCCGTCCCTCCTTGCTGCAGGGGCCCGGCTGTCACCCCCTGGGGGTACTGGAAGGGGGAAGGCTCAGGAAGGCTGGTCCAGTATCTGCCTAGAGCCCCACTCCTGGGTGCAGGGCAGAGCCCCGGAGGGCACGGTGGGTGGGGCTGCGCTCAGCACGTGGGGCTGCCTGCCCTGATGCCTGTACCGGGGACAGGCACATCGGAAGTCACTCCGCTTGGTTGAGGCGCCCTGCTCGGCTGTGGCTGAGCGTGCAGCCCTGGGACGGGGGTGGAGACAAGAACGACTTACGTTCAGAAGGGCCGACGTCCGGAAGCCGTGGAAGACACGTTTTGAGAGGAAACCATCTGAGACAAGGTCGAAGTCCACGTGTAACTACTTGTCACTCCTCCGCTCGGAGTCACCGCAGGACCTGAGCTGCGCCTTGGCTGCTCTCAGAACCGCCCCGTTTCTCACTCAAGTAGTGGATCCAGAAGAGAACCCTAGGTGATCGCCCTAGTGGTAGACCCCCAGTGAGCCTGAGCCTGGACCTGAACCTGCGGGAGTCTGCGGAGGATCGGGCCGTGGGGAGAGCCCTTCCCGGCGAGGGGTCCAGCTCGTGCCTGCCTTTGCCACGCCAGAGACTCCAGGCCGGCCCCCACCTCAGGAGCAAATGCATCCTGTGCAAAAGTGACTGTCACCCCCGCATCGCTGCTCAGAGTGTCTCAACAGCCGGGGACAGAGCCCACTCCCCGTGTTCCTCTGCCGGAGTGCCCGGTGACCCCCAGGGCAGGAGCCCCGACCTCCTGACAGCCTCGCACACTCGGACGTCCTCCTTTGGCTTTCTTTGGGCACAAGATCTCGTCCTGTGTCTGGTGGTTCACTGTGGATCACCCCCTGACTGTTTTGGGAGGAAGACGTGGCCCCAGCATCCATCGCCCGGCAGTGACAGCTGCAGGATGGGAGGGTCTGCAGTGGCCTCAGGTCCAAGTCTTGTCCTGTGCTGTCATCCCAGAGTTGACCCCGGCCCCCAGCCTGGGGCCAAGGCAGGCACCCTCCTCAGGGTAGCTCATGAGCCTGGTCTTTGACAGAATGTTCCAGATGGTGGTGGGCACCCAAGGGGGCTTGCCCTCTGTGTGGTGCTGAGGGTGGGAGTGTCCCACCCAGGGGTCTCTGGTGGCAGTTACTCCAGATCCTGGGGTATTCGCAGCCTGCTTCCTCAGAGCCCAGTGTGGATGGCATGTGCTGCTTTGGTCACTGTTTTGGGGGAGGAGATAAGTGTGGGTCAGAGGCCAGTCACTTCAGGGAGATTGGACCTCAAGTGACAACGTGGGTTTGCCCCCAGACCTTTCTGGTGAGAAAGAGGGCACGTCAGGACACTCGGCCACATTCTGCCCCCAGCTCCTGCTAACACAGGCACCGTCCTCCGTTCCCTGGGTCCCTTCCTCGGCTGGTTCCCAACTCTGGATGGACAAGCCTGCCCCCATTTCTAGTCCCCCAAGGCCTCCTACCATGACCCTGCCTGGGGACAACCAAGGGCCTGGAGCCCTCCTCTGGAACCAGAGCCCAGTCAAGAGGGCAGCTGGGGCAGGGCTGCCCTCCACGCCGTCCTGGGCCAGACGTCACTGGTCACGGTGTATCCTCGGCTTCAGAGCCTGCAGGCAGCTGTCCACGGTCAGTGGAGCCGAAGCACATCTGCACGGCCGGAGCCAGGCCCTGAGGGAGGGAGCCCCAGGCTGGAAGGGCCTGCACACCAGGATGGAGGGGCCCTGAGCCGGGGGCGGGAGCCGACGTGGTCCGTGCTGCCGGACCTTCAGGCATCGTCTTGGAGACACAGAAGCTGCATGCTGGGGTTAGTCTTCTCTCGCTAGTTTATCCTTTTAAAGACAGTCCCAAAGTGCCTCAGTTTTCCAGAAAACACTAAGTTCTCAGGCAAACTCGGGGTGCCCACTCCACGTGCTCTCTTCTGGGGCCCCTGGATGGAGCGCCCGCCCTCCCAGTTCCCTGGACGCCCAGCCACGCCGGAGGCTGCAGGTAATGGCTCCGGAGCCCACTGCTGCGCCGGGAACACGGCCCCGTCTGTGCCGAGCCTTCCGTGTCCCACGTGCCATCTGTGCTGTCATCTTGGGACTGCCCGATGTCCCCCAGCCTGCTGTCCTGTGCGGTCCCCTTGGGCAGGTCCTCTGCGCCCACCGGGGAAGCCGAGGAGGGACTTCCCTGAGCAGCAGGCCGGGTGCCGGCCCCACCCTGTGCTCATCCAGTCCATCTAAACCTCTTGTCTGGCACGTCCATCTGTCCGTCAGCTGCAGCCTTGGCACTGGGGCGGGTGTGGCTCCCCTCGAAGGAGGCAGTGGGCCCTCTGCAGGGACCTGCGGGCAGCCGCCCCGCCAGCCCCGTCACTGCCCGTGTGCCTGTGTGTCGTCTGTGTTGTGTGGGCGTGGGGCAGGCCGAGGCTCCCGCCACCTTCCAGGCCAGGGCTGCATGGGCTGCCTGCTGTGGTCTGCTGCACTGTGTCCGTGTACCTGTGTGTCGACAGCTGCGTCCTTGCAGTCGGCTCAGCTGCTGTTCTCGGGCAAACGGTGGGGGGACGCTGGGCCTTGTGGGGCGGTGCACGAAGCTCGGGGGCTGCCCCAGTCTCGGGGGAAGGACCAGCCCCTGGGGCAGGTGGGGAGGGTGCAGCGGGCTGCCCCCCACGCCCGCCCACCCTGCCCTGGGAGGGTGGGCAGTTCGAGGTGGGGTGCATGTAGAGGGAGTGGAGGGTGTGCACTGAGGGCCAGCTGGCCTTGCCGATGGCTCCCCTTCCTGGCTCTCTCGCAGCCTCCGCTGCCCACCGGCTCTAAGCTCAGAAGCTGGCCATTGGGTCCAGGCGGTTGCTGCCCACAGGGCGTAGGGCAGTACTCCCAGCATCCCTCTCTGACACGCTCTCCTCTTCTCTCCGCAGGAACCCCTTTGCCAGCGTCCAGCTGAAGCCGACGGTGACCAATGACAGGTCTGCTCCCCTCCTCAGCTGACGGCCACCTCTGCACCCCGCTGCCTATGGGGCCCCTCCTTCCCCGCCCTGACCTGGAAATCTGCAAGGCCCTCCTCCTCCCACCTCACCTCAGTCTGGCCCGGGCTGGGCCCCGGCTGTCCCTCCAGGGTCAGGAGGTGGCACCTGGCCATGGCAGAGGAGAGTGAGGATGGCCAGTCCCCAGAGCCAGCCCCCGGGGTGCAGGAAGGCCACCCCGTCAGCTCGTAGCCATGAGGGGCACCCCTGCCTGGTTAGCAAAGAGGCTGCCCACCTGTGTTAGCCTGCCGGCGGGATGGGGGCAGGAGGAGAGCCTGCCACCGTTTGGAAGATGGATTTACTGTGAGCACAACTTTTCTGGCAGACCCTCGCTCCGGGCTCTGCTGGGCCTCCCTACGCCTGCTGGCAGTTTTAGGGGGCCTCCATCCAGCTTCTCCCTGCCCAGGCCTAACACCCATCCAGAGCTGGCTGAGGGCCCCCAGCGCCCCTCCCTGGCCCCACGGTGGGTGGGTGGTGCTATGGCCTTGTTTGTCCCCAAGCTGTGTGCCATTGGGGGGGGTTCTGCTCCAGGATTCCTGGGTGGGCCCCCCCCTCCCTGCCCTAGCTGCTTCTATATTTCAGTTGAAATACAAGATTTTGGAACTTCATTGGATCCATGCTATTTAACATTTGTGGCTGTGATACAGCCCTGGTGACCACGCTGGTGACGACATTCCTTACCTAGGGAGAAGGTCCAGGCAGCGTGTGCCTGCTTCTCCCAGGTCCTCCAGGGAGGGGCACTGGAGCCCTGAGCCACCTGCAGCCCACACCCCAGGACACGAAGCAGAGGGGGTGGGGGCCCAGGTGAGCAGAGGTCTCTACTTTGCAGAAGATGGAGACAGGCCAGGGAGGGGTGCCTAGAAGCCCCAACTCCTTAAAACTCTCCTTCCTGGCTCACCCTGCTGCGGGCTAGGGAAAGCCCTGGAAAGGTGGAGGCGTGAGCTCCCGAGAGAGGCCTGTGGGGTGGGCCCCCCTCCTTACCTAGGCAGGGCCACCTTCCAGACACGAAGAGAGGGCTGCAGGGGCCGGACCCCACCCTTGTTCTGGGAGGACCTCCAGCTCAGGTACATCTGGGGCCTAGGCCACCGCTTCCCTCCACTGGGGGGCTCCCTCCTGTACCCCCGACCCCGGCTCGGCCCATGCCCCCTCCTGCCCAGGGCTGTAGCTGCAGACTCCAAAAGAAAAACGCTTGGCATGAAGGCTTTTTTTCCCCTTAGCTTTGATTTCTCTTAAAAAACAAACAAAAAAGGAACAAGACAATCACACCAGCATCCTAAGCCTCAAACTAGTAAGACAGCACAGACCCCGGACGTCCCCACCCACACACCCCCGAGCAACAATAAACTTTGTCTCTTTGGCAACAATAACTTAAAAGCATCTCATTTCCATTCGCTCCACAGCGGTTACAAAAATACTCCCTGGGCTGCCCTGCCCCACCCTCCCTCCCAGCACCCCTTCCCACAGGAACCCCCGACACTGACCAGGGGGTGAACCACCCACTTTCCTTTGGCAGCTGGGCGAGGCTGGGCAGAGCTCTGCAGAGGGGAGCTGCGCACACTAGCCAGCCTCGGGCACCAATAGACCAGGGCCACAGCGGCAGGACTGGGGCCAGGAAGACCCCCAGCTTGGCCCACTCACAGAGCCTAGGCAGGAGCGGCCCCGGACCCGGTGGGGAGGGAGCTTACGGGTCTAGCTGATCCAGTGAAGGAGAGAGCTGCAGGCTTGGAGCCGGGGCACCAGAGCCCGGGGTCCTTTTCTTGCACTGAGGAACCCTGAACCGGCAGATGGGGTGAGGACACAGTGGCCTGCAGTGCACTGCAGGACCCCGGTGGGCAGGGCGTGCGAGGTCCCCTGACAGCGGGGGGCAAGGGGGAGCGGCCTGGGGCTGCAGAGCATCCCAGGAACTAGCAGCAAACCGAGTGTCCAGAACAGATCCTGCCCGCAGAGAAGCGCGGGGCTGGCGGGCACAGCTGCTCCACCATCCAGGGCCAGAGCGGGGGGCCTCTCCTGCGCTGCGCCTCCAGGGGCTGCGAGGACCAGCGAAGCCCTGGAAGCTGCTGCTGACTGCTGCCAGAATCGAGGTCCCACCACTCGTGGTCACCATCCTCGCTGCTGCCGGGAGAAGGACCAGCAGGGGCTCCAACGGGGGGGCCACCTGGGCCTCAAGCCTCTTGACAGCTGCCCCCAGCCCCTGCTGCATGGCCTGGCAAACAGAAGGTACCCCATGAGTGTGGGGGGAGACGCGGGATAGCCAGCGTCCCCTCCTCCCAGGGCCCCCCTTCCCCCAACCTCAGTCCCCGCCTGGGCTGCAGCAGGTCTGCCTGCCTGCCTGTCGAAGGACTGTTACTCTGCCCACCAGGGCCCAGGCCCGGCAAGGCTCAGCACCCGCCCTGAGTTCTTACAGGTGGGGAAACAGACCCACACAGGGCTGGGCTGGCCAGGGTCACACACCCACCTTCTGATGCCGTTTCTCTGTTCAGACATCTATTAAGGGCACACAGTGTGACAGGGACAAGCCTTCACTGGAGGCTGCAGTCACAGGCCAAGGGCAGCAGGGGAGGGGAGGGGAGGGGCTGGGGTCTGCCTGGGGAAAAGATGGCCAGGAGCATCTCAGGAAAACCTAGTAGAATGAGGGAGAGGGGCAACTGGGTAGGAAAGAGCCCACCTGGTCTGAGGCTAACAGGAGTGGAGCTTGGAGGGAGAGTAAGCTAAGGCCCCTGAGTAGGGCCCCACCTGGGCACCTGAGCCACTACCACCACCAGCTCTTGTGGGCAAGGGCCATCAGATCTGAGATGTGCTGGGGAGGGCGGAGTGGACGCGGCAGACTCGTGGGCACTGGGAAAGTTCTTGTGGGAGAGGCTGCCACAGGTCTGGGGGCTATCAGAGAGCAGGGCACTCAGTGGACTGGGGCCTTTGGAGGAGGTAGAGGAGAGCCAGGCAGCATTCAGCCTAGGTCCCGGCGTGCTGGGCCAGCTGTGCGCAGGGCACTGCATCTCCCCAGGGAGGCGAGGCCATGCACCAAGGTGGCCAGAGCAAGCAGGCCTAGTGGGGGGCCAAGCGCTCCTGTTTCCCCATCTGAAACCTGAGTTTGTCCAGAAGGCCGGAAATAACGCAGGGCCTCACGACCTGCAGGTGCCCCTCTAGGCCACCCTCGCCACTGTCCCAACGCAGTACCCCCTGCCAGCCCCGCCGTGGCCTCACCTCCCAAGGAGTCGGCATCCGAGTCGGAAACGTGCGTGATGGAGAAGCGAGAGGCGGGCGCGGGCGAGACGGCGAAGCGGGAGAAAGGGCCCGGCGTGGCCGGCTTGGGGGACGCGGCAGGCGGGGCGGACTCCATGGCCGGCGACGGCGGGAGGCTGGAGTCCCACTCGAACCCTCTGCCTGTAAGGAGCCCACTGTCACCGGCAACCGCGGAGCTCGTGGGGGAGGCCCCGCCCGACGCATGACACCACCGCAGGCCCCGCCCCTCGCCCCGCCTCCAGCACACATCGGACACACCCCCACCCGTGTTGCCCCGCCCCCTGCCACATCGTCCCGCCCCCAGCTCACCCTCTTCCGCCACGGACCCGTCTGGGGAGCGGTCATCCAGGCGCGGTTGGCTGGGGGCGCTCGGGGATCCCGGGCTGCCAGCCAGGAACGCGGGGGGCGACTCCTTGGCCCCGGGGAAGGGGTCCCCGAGCTCCCGGGTGGGACTTTCCTGGAGGATCAGAGCAGCACGTGTCTCCCACCGCTTCCGTCCTGCCAAGGACCCTCACCCCCCGCGCAGAGCCCGCGGCGGCCGCCCACCTGGTCGAAGAGGTAGACCGTGACGTCGTCGAAAAAGGACACGGCTTTTTTCTTGCGCTCCAGGTCCTCGCAGAAGGCCTCGGACAGCAGGCTGGGCATCTTGAGCAGGCTGCGCAGGTTGCGAGCGCTCTGGCTCTCCGCCACCACCACGGGGACCGGCGGCGCCTCCTCCTCGCTGTCCTCACTTGGCTCCTGGATGCTGTAGCAGCGAAGCTCCTCGTCCGACTCGTCGCTGTCCTCGCTGTCCTCCTCCTCCTCCTCCCGCCGGCCCCCCGGAGCTGCAGGGAATCCCGGCAAGGCCAAGCAGAGTGGGGTTCGGGGGACACCTGGGCCCCCTGTCCTTTCCTGCAGGCCCGACCCGGACAGCAGTCCCGGGGCTTCCTGGAGCTCAGGGCAGTGGCCTTCTGAGTTTGCTGGGACTGGGGTCAGCAGGAAAATCTTAGACTGCCCAGGGCTGGACACAGGCAGCACCTGGGCTGGGTCTTGGGGCCAAGGAGGCTCTAGCCGGGGGCCTGCAGGGCAGGCGCTTGGCTCCAGAGAAGAGGCCTTGGGCAATGGCAGTGGCGGCACCTCCTCGGGGCCCGCGCCCTGCGCCTCCCTGGACACCTCAGGCTCAGGGGAGGGCTGTGCAGACTGCGGCCTGGGGCCCTGCGGGCTCTCCAGGCTGGGCTCTGGCCCTGGGGCTGGGACACCCCCTCGCTTCTCCGCGGGGCCCAAGGGGGGCTCTGGCTCCGCGTCCAAGTCTGAGAAGTAGGCAGAGTCGCGGTAGGGACTCTTCTCGCTGAGGCCACCCAAAGATGCGGGGAGCTGAGTCTCGGGCCCGGGGCTCTCGCCTTCTGAGGCCAGCTCCCCAAAGGCCTCTGGCTCACAGGGCTCATGCGCCTCCTTGAGTACAAACTCCGGGGACTCGTAGTTCTCCGTGTCGTAGCCACTGTCTGGGGCTCGGGGCTGCCCTCCAGGGGTGCCCACAGCTGATGGGCTGAAGACCTCACCGCCACCATCGCTGGCTGAGGACGGGATGTCCGGGGAGTCCAGGGAGTCGGGGGTCCCCACCTGCTTCTGCAGAAAGCAGAAGGCTGGTGTCACGTCCGGCTTCCCAGCCTGTGGGCCGTCGCTGGACAAGTCGGTGAAGACACCGGAAGTGGCCTGAGCCGTGTCCTCCTCTTCACTGCCTGGCGCTTCCAGCTCAGGGGAGCTGCTGTCGCTGTCTAGGGTCCGGGCTGGCTCAGTGGCAGGTGCCTGGCTGCTGCTGGGGGTGGGCGAGGCAGGCAGGGTGGGCGGGGCACTGGCCTCCTCGGCGGGAAGTGGCGCTCCCTCTTGAGATGGGGACGGGATGGAGGGAAGGGGCAGCTGGAGTCCAGCAGAGCCCTCAGCCTCCTCTGCAAGCCTGGGCTCTGCCTGGGGGCTGTCACCCCTACTTACGGCTGCCTCTGTCCAGGGGCAGGTGATGAGGCAGGGGGCAGGTGCCAGGCCCTCAGCAGGATATAGAGGGGGCAGGCCAAGGCAGCGGCCCAGCTCCTGAGCAGAGGAGGCCCCCTTTGGCCCAAGGAGAGGCTCCCTGAGGTCGTCTGGGGCCATGGGACGGCCCAGCTCGGGGACAGCCCGCAGTATCTGCCTCACACCGGAGCGGCAGTCCAGGTAGCTGCCTGAACGGCCCAGGCCCCAGAGCTCCGGTGCTCGGCAGCCGCTGTTGTTGTTGGCCGACACGTTGGAGCTCCAGTGTCTGTGCTGGGCAGCCCTGGGTGCCTCAGCCTCCCCCGGTTGCTCCCCACCTGGGGACAGCCGGCCCCCGGAGCTCCCTGAGGGGGGATGTGCCCAGGGGGTCTTCAAAGAAGGGCGGGCAGAAGGCCCCCACGCCCCAGTCGGTATCCTCTACTCGGGGCTCTGCCAGCATCAAGGTCCCCGGAGAGGGCGAGCGCGAGGCGCAGGGCAGGTCACGGGCATGGCTCCTGCACGGGTAGTAGTCACAGTGGCCCCAAGGGCCGCCAAAAGGGGGCGCATGGCCCAGCAGCGGTTCCATGGCCAGCGAGGCGGCGGCACTGCCGTCAGAGTCACCTTCGTGATCGCTGCCGTCGGGACGCAGGGCCGCAGCGTGGGTGCTGGGGGCACAGCCGGCGCAGTCAGGGTCATGGTCCGTGGCAGGCGTCGGGTCCTCCAGGCGGATGAAGTACTCACTGCCCACCGACGGGCTGTGCGCGCTGAGCACGGGCACCACGCCAGGGGGTGCGCCGTCGGGGGCGCAGAGCTCCTGCGAGTGCGCAGCGCCGCCCGGACTCAGTGCGCCCCCGGGCGGCGGGAAGGCCTCGGTGCCGCGGCCTGCCTCCCACTTGTACTCAAAGTTGAGGCCGCGGCTCGTCTCTGTCACGGTCAGCACGTCGTCGCCATCCCCGTGGAAGCCGTCGCCGGCAAACTGCTCTAGCAGCGGGAAGGATGAGGTGGCGGCCAGCTCGCCGGCGCCCCCCAGTGTCAGGCCCGCCGCCCCGGGCCCCGCACCGCCCCCACCGGGCCGTAGTGAGCGCCAGCGCCGCTCGAACTCCTCCTCTGCCTCCGTGGCGCCCTTGGCGCACAAGTAGGACAGCAGCAGGTGCACCTCCTCGGCTGTGGGCCGCTGTTCCGGCTGCAGCCAGCAGAACTGCATCACCTCGTACCTGCAGGAAGGGATGCCCAGGCTCAGGCCCCGCCCCAAGGGGGTCCCGCCCAGCTGGGACCCCGCTACCCCAGAGTGAGCCAGTCTGCCCTCAGCGTGGGGTCAGGGTTCCCCTCCTCACACCCCAAAGCCCCTGAGGACAGTGAAGGGAATCTCCCGAGGTGGGCCCGGTGGTTTGGGAACATCAGTGTTCAGGACACTTTTCCTTAGATTCTCCCCGCCCGGACTGCAGGCGAGCTTGTGTTGTGGGTTAAGAAGGTACTTCCATTGTGGGTACAGGGTGGGGCCCAGAGGTCACCCCTGGCCCGGGGGTAGCCAGGGTGAGCTAGAAACTGAGACCCAGGTAGTCAGGAGGAGCCACCTGTGCCCTGGGAACTGGGAGCACCCCCCCTTTTGTCTCGGCCTTCCTGGTGGGGACCCCCACTCGGCCCAGCACCGCGGGGCCTCACCAGCGGTCGGCGAGGCTCAGCTGCAGCTGGGGCTTGGGCAGCCTGAGCTGCTGCTCCCGGACGGCGTAGGCCAGCACCTGCCGGTCGGAGTGGTGGGGGTAGGGCTGTGCCCCCAGCTCAAAGAGCTCCCAGATGGTCACGCCCAGGGACCTGCGGGGTGACAGCCATCAGAGGGCTGCCTGGCCAGCGTGCCACTGCTGCACAGGGTCTCAGCTTTAGGTGCCCAGAAGCAGCTCCCATCATGACATCAGCGTCTGGGGACGCCCCTCCCAAAAGATGGCCCCCTCCTTCAGCCAGCGGGCAGCTGCGCCACGCAGCCAGCCCAAGCCCGTGCCCAGGGTGCCTGGACAAATAAAAGCCCAGCTGGCTGCCCACAAGCCAAGCCCACCTGTCTGTTCATTTGCTCGTTCGTTCCCTTGCCATGAAGCCGACACTGCCAGGTGCAGGGGCTGCCCTGGAGAAGCCCCCGTTCCTGCCAGGCACCCCCAGAGGGAGGGGGGAGTCTAGGGACACCCCAGCCAGTGTGAGTGGGCAGGGGGAATGGCTGTGTGGCCAGTGCGCAGGGGGCTGGGGCAAGGCAACTGGAACCCTTCCAGTGGGTGGTGGCTTCAGTCAACTCCCAGGGAACCCAGGCTGTCCCAGGAGACTGGAGGCACGAGGGACAGATTTGGCAAGAGAAGTCATGGTGGCCTTAGTCACAGCCATCTGCCCCCGACCACCCACACTACACAGCCCTATGCCCCCACCAGTCGGGACGGTCAGTGAATGGGGAGGCGGGGACCAGGGGATGGTGTGTCCGTGATGGGGGCACAGGTAGAGACTAAGGGAGGCCACAGAAGGCTCAGGGAGCGGGGCGGGGCCATGGATCCAGCCCTGAGGGGTCCGTCAGGAGCAGAGGGAGGCCTGGGGCGCTGGGAGGAAGCAGGAGGGGGAAGCAGAGCCACGTCAAGGCCAGGCACGGGACCACCATGGCCCAGCCTCTAGAGGCCACAGTACTGGGCCTGAATGTCTGCTCTGTGCCCAGCCTGGTGGCCCCAGGCTGCAGTCACAGGAGACCCCCGGCCCCCACAGGCCCCTCTCATGGGAACAGGTGCCACCGCGAGTCCCCATGTCTCACCATACAGCCTGTCACTCCCGGCGGGCTTTCCAGCCTGACCACACCTGACCCTGACGTCTCCAGGCGTCAGCCCAGCAGGTCCTGGGAGGAGTGGGACTTCCTCCACGGGCCCCCAGGCCCCGCCACCCCACCAACCCAGCTGCCGTGGGCCACTGGCACTGGGCAAGGACAGGTGGCACAAGAGCCCCACGACCCCTCCCAGGGCCAAGTTTGGCCACCTCCTACAGAGCGACAGGGTTGGACAGACCCCACGTCATCACACACACGGCCTGGCTTTGAGTGGCCAGCCTGGATGCCCTCTGATGGGAGGAAGCCAGCTGGCAGGTGGGACCCAGCCCCTGGCACCCCCAGCACCCCTCGAGCCTGCAGACCCTGCGTCCTCACTGGACACTATCTCAGGCACCAGGCAGGGCCACCGTGAGGTCTGATGGTCGTGAGTGAGAATAAAGTCATTGGGTTTTGATGGACCACGTGCTCTCGGGCACCACCGGGACCACGCTCACCACACGTTGCTGGCCTTGGTCTGGTCCACCACCAGCAGGTTGCAGTGCACCTCGTCCACCAGCTCGGGCGCGATCCAGCGCAGCGGCACCCACAGCTGGTCAGCAGTCACGAAGTAGTCCTCCTGCGGGCACATGGGACCCCGTCACCCTGTGGCCCGGCGCCTGCCCTGCGCCCTCAACCCGGCCCGGCCCGGCCCACTCACCCTGTATTTGCCGTGAGACAGGCCGTAGTCGCCGATCTTCACCGTCAGGTCGGCCGTGAGCAGGCAGTTCCTCAGGGCCAGGTCACTGGGGGTGGGAGGGTGAGGTCAGCCACAGGGCCGGGCTGGGGCATCCAGGGCCCCCAGGGGGCTGGGCCACTTGTCACCAGTGGCATCCTGGGCTCGGCTCGGTAGGTGGGTGGAAAGGGGCGTCTGAGAGGCTGTCCCCCCACCCCCTGCATGGAGTCCCAGCCCCTCACCCAGCACTGGGCATCTCAGAGGGTCCACGTGGACGGAGCCTCAAATGTTACAATACAGACAAGGAAAATGAGGCGCAGAGACGGCTAGCACACGCCTGGGGCCCTCCGTGGACATGATCTGCCTCACTGGTACCCCCGCCCCTGACCTCAGCCCACTCCCGTTCTCCTCGGACACCAGTCTGCTTGCGTTGGGGGTGGTGCAAGCAAGCCAGCCTGGGGGCAC